GTTTTTATTTACACTTAAATGAGGAGTTTGCAATTCCATCTATCCACCCATCCATCCATTTTCCGATCCGCTTTATCTTCACAAGGGTCGCGGGGGTGCTGGAGCCTATCCCAGCCGTCTTCGGGCAGTAGGCGGGGGACACCCTGAACCGGTAGCCAGCCAATCGCAGGGCACACAGGGACGAACAACCATCCACGGTCACACTCACACCAAGGGACATTTTAAAGTGTTCAATCACCCTGCAACGCATGTTTTTGGAATGTGGGAGGAAAACGGAGTACCCGGAAAAAACCCACGCAGGCCCGTGGAGAACATGCAAACTCCACACAGGGAGGTCGGCGTTGGAATTGAACTCTGTACCTCTGCACTGTGAGGTCGACACGCTAACCACTGGACCTCCAGACTGACAAAAAGAAACATAGTTCAGGACCTCAGGCAGACTGAGAAGTAATGCGGAAGTAGCCACAATTCTGCTTGACTGGTAAGTTTAGCACCTCTTTTAGATTTTTAATTGGTTGTACATCCGAAAATATTTTAAAAAATTAACCTGCTAACATTTAGTCTTGCAGTCACACTTACAAATAAGTCACTCGAGCAAAATCGTAGACATGTGCGATATCGGCTTGTTTACATCACTAATGCTAGCTTCGTATTGCTTGTGCTGCTGCTGCTTTGTTGCAGCTGGACAGTGTTCCCTGTGACTACTTATCACCACGACGCACTTTCATTATCACATGCCGTTATGAATGGCCATGTTTGTGGATCGGTGAGGGACACGGCTTTTGAGTTGGGGGCGGGGATTACTGAAGTGAGGCCACATTCAAATCTTGTGGGTTTTGAAACTGCAAACTACCCCTTTAAGTACAGGACTTAAATCACTACTTCTACTTCTCAACTCAATCGTCTGTACTTCTCAATAAAGTACACAATGTGAGTACCTTTGTCACGCCTGGAGTGAGGGCAACCCGAAGGAAAAAGTCAAGGCTGGACAAATGGCGCCGTGTTTGGCCGAGGCTTGTGAATGTCTATTTGGATTTAGAAAATGCCCACTATCTCAGGACCTTGTACTTGAGCCTTATCGTCCTCAGAACAGCCCAGATGGCACCATACCCTTGACAAAGACTCACGTCACGCTCCCAAAGCTCTATTGAATGTTTCTCACACTGCAGACGCCTGCACGCTGTCTCCTGGTCACCCGAGCTCCAAACACACAGCACGCATTTGTTTGACTGTGTTTTTGCAAGAGGCTAAACTTCACTGTGGCTATGACCAGCTGTGTGTGGTTGGAGAGGATAATTATCATCCTAACGGGGATAAATGTGTGCGCAATCTTCACAACCACAATGACACAAGGCAGGGAACACATGCACGTCGGGATGAGAAAAAACAACATTCAAAATGTTGCACTAAGACAACTGATTATTTCGCAGTTTACAATATTTCCTGAATTGGATTTTCATGGTCAGGGAGCCCGATTTCCACAGGAGAGGTACTGTACTGTGCCAAAAATCCTAGGCAACCATTAGAACTGTGAGTTATTTTAGCATTGCCAAAATTACCTCCCTCGTCTCTTGACTAGAATACAACCAAGAAACCATGAAAAAACAGCTCTGTAGGCTTAAGTTATTTACTGAAACCTATTCCTCCATCCACTGATGTTACAACAGTCCGGCAATGGCAAATTTGCTTGCAGTGGTGGGATGTACAATACATACGTCATTATTGTATATTATATTATAAAAACCCTCATACTCCCTGACCCCTAATTTTTCTTTTAGTGTTCAAAAATACTGAAAGAAAATTGGGAAAAAATAAATCAGCAACTTGGTGAATCCATGGGGGTTGAACTGTGATGAAGCAGGGATCCACTGTGCATAGTTCTCACTACTGTATTTGCACATTTTCAGCAAATGCCTTCAAGCACTGAAAAAGAATTAGAAAAAAAAATAAATCTCTGAATTCACTTCACATGTTCTTCAAATATTGAGTGAGACCTCTTTCTCGATACTCTAATGTTACAATGATGCAGAAACATAGGATAAAAGATGTTAGCAAATTTGAAGGTAGTAGAAGTGTTAAAAAAAAGCATCTAAAAAGCAAAAGAAAGTTTGAAATGTGAAGAAATTCAAAAAGGCTGCCAATTCATTTCAGCAACAGCAAAGAGTTGATCAATCAACTACCGTAATTGTTTCAGCTCTACTTACGACTGTCACCTACTGGGATTTGGAACTGCTGGTGCTCAATTTAAAAAAAAAAAAAAAAAAAAGCAGCTCCCTGGGCATGAAAGTTGTGTGTTAGCGTTTAAAAGGGAGCTTTAAACGAGTGGCATGCACACAATTTCCAGCACAATCAATAGCGCTCATTGATCTCCTCTCTTGGCGGTAGAAACAAATCAAAAGTAGCAGCAACACATGACCTCCATCAGATGCTTAGCAATAATGTAACACAAAAAGCGCACTTTTCTCCACGCCAACCGCCAACTGAACTCCGCCAGTCGCTGCCATGATCTAGAGAGGACAGCAAAGATGACACCTTATAGATTCAGGATTAACCATTTCCAGCTGAAGGAGATTTGTGTACCATTAGTCTAACTCAATCAGGAGACTAATTCAATCAAAGGCACAGTGGCCGTCCTGACGTGGGGGCATCTGTCACGCTGCCTTCTCACTACATCCTACGCAGACATTTAGCCACAAAATTCAGCTTGACATGAGCCCTCAAATATAGCCTGTGGTCTGCCAAACAAAATGTACATACAGAAAACATGTGTGCATGCACGCACACACACACGGGGGCGCACGCAGGCGCACAATGTGCAAGATTGTTCTTCAGCTAGATGTACAGTACATAGGTCATGACAGAAAAGGACATTTTTCGATGCCCCAACCTCGTGAAATTTGTTATAATCCGTGTACTTTTCCTGCCAGTTTTAGTAAGACAAAATGTAACTGTGTCTGTGGTAAAAGTGATTTTCAAATACCATTGACCAAATAGCTCTTGTATAACACTAAATGGCTTTTTTTTTTTCTCTCGACGGTCCCTCTTAATGACCAACTTAAACATCAATTCTAACAGATAAAATTTTAAATCATCTTTTTTTCTTATTTATGTATGTCTCATTTGTAATTGTTAATAGATTTAGTTTTATCACGGACACATTTCTAAAAGGAGTAATTGTGCCGTCAAGTTGGGTTTACAAGAGCTACATGACTCAGCAGAAATGACATCAAGCTAATTGCTCTGGCCATACGTAGACGGTAAATCTTCTCTTGTAATGTTCATATTTTGCAGCCAAAATGGAGTCGGTCACTTTAAAAAAATGCAACCTTGTTGCTTGTAACATCAGGGTTCGGGTTCTGAACCAGTGTGCAATGGCAGCTAACACAGCTAACATGCACGCTCAATATTTAAAAAATAAAATAAAATGGTAATAATAATAAAATATCATAAGCATTGATTTGCAACCCTCTTACTTGCATTCTTGTTACTGCATTTAGAATATTAGTAACATTACGTTTTGACTGAAATAAAATATAAACAATGTTTTTAAGGTGCCTGAGTATCTGTAATAGGGCTGCGCCAAACACAGCAAAATATCATATGAAAAGAAAATAAGTATCTTATAAAAAGTGGACCATTGATGGTTGAGCTGGACCTATTTGCATGTTTTTTTCCAAAAAATATAAGAAATTTCAAAATGTTGGTATCTATTTTATCTTTCAATTCAACAGTGCATTGCAATCATCACAGCATGAGTGCTTGGCCTTAAATGGAATCGAAGACAGCTTAGACTTCTCAGACGAATATTCTTTTAACAACTCAACATTGATTCCCTTCTTGATTTGTGCCATAAACCAAATCCATCAGTCTTTCTCATCTCAGCCTTCTGCGCAGCAAACACACCAACGTGCATGTGTGAGCTCTTACACAACATGCAAATGAGAATGAAACTGATCATCCCCGAGATGGGAAGCAAATCTCTTTTTGAAGCGTCCAAGCAGCACATCTCATTATGCCACTCTTACTGTAATTATTCATGGTCCAAGAGACAAATGGGACTGTTAAATTTTGTGTTGATGCAACATCGAGTACACTTTACAGTATGCTAGCATCGATCCTTTTTCGGACCTCCTTGCTTTTGTCAGTTTTCCATTAAAAAAAAAGGGGTGGGGGGACATTTTTGAATTGTATGATGACCTAACAAAAGAAGTCTTGGTCTTCTAATGAGAAGCAGTGGAAAGGTGAAGCAGAAGCCAAATATGTCCCCTTTAAATTTTGACACAGATATTAGCTCTGGTTTGTAACTCAACCAGACACATTTGGCCTCGAAATGGAGTCAAGCACACTTTCCTAACAGTGCAAAAATAAGTGAACCAAACATCCGAGGAGAGTGGACTGTAACCTTATGAACCTGCACCCAGAGAGTGTCTAACCTATAACAGTAGTTCTTATGATTTTTAAAGTACATATCATGTTACAGTTTCCTACAATGAAGATACTTATTAGGAAGAAAACAGAATATTCACCTCTGGAAAATTTGTCAACAACTGAGCATAAGACAACGGAAGCAGAGTGAAGAGAACTCAGGCAGCTGAGAGGAATTAGCAATCATTTGGCTCAAATAAAAGTTGTAGACAAATAAATGTTCTAAAACAAAGTTCTAGGAAAATTCATGCAAATGTACTGTGCCTAAAAGTTACATACAACTGAATTGGTCTTTAAAAAAAATGTTCCATACTAGATAAAAATACAGTTTACATATTTTAAGCCACTGTAAAAAATGTTGAACTAAATTCCGTCTTTTTGTCCATACCACTAGAGGAGGCCTACCTTTTAAGAATTACCTATCGAGATCAAATTCTTAGGCAGTAAAGTTGTAGTGAATGAGGTCACGGATTTCAAATTCAGTGCAATCAAATGAAAGTGGCCTTTCAACCCCGGCCTTTGCCGCATTTGACAAACAAACATTTGATAGAAAACGTGCCTGTGTGTTGCCTCACCTTGCAGCTCAGGGGTTTGAGGGGTAGTCCCGAGACAGGATTTCCTTGATGCTGAGTAGTGTTTGTCTGCTGGGGCGAGTGGGAATCCTCAGACTCTTTTCCACTGTGGTAGACCACCCTATCAGAGATATGAATACTTGAAGCACAGCCCATGCTTCAACCCACTTCAGCCTTTTTTCTGTCCGTTTTTGTGCAAGTGTTTTTTTACTTTGAGGGCCACCACGGTGTCATTTGCTCACTTGTCGTTTTTTTAGTGATGCAAAATGTCCATCCTCTCAGCTTAAATATATAAATAGATATATGTCATCTGGGCCACAACAAAGCCAGTTCTGTAATTGCTCTAAAAAGAGACATGAATAATAAATTTTCTCTCTCCCCACGGCCCTCAGACCAGGAAGCCGATTTCCTCTCTCTTGTTTCTCACATGAACTTAATTGGCGATCTTTAATCAAAGCAGCAAGCAGTGCTCCTTTGGCGGGTGGAAAGAAAAAAAAAGTTGGGTTATAGTTCAGCTGGACAGCTCAGATCCCCCAAGGCTCTTCTTGTCACTCGTACCATATCACCATTTTTCATGTTGCTTCTTTGTGCTCAACTTCAGTCATCAAGTAGGCCTGAGCACACACTCTCACTCACACACGCAAACGCACACACGCACCCACTCTCACACACGCAGTGCAGCCTCGCGCAACAGTTTTATCCATTCCTGCCGTGCAATCTTGCACTGGTAGTCGTCCTTATCCACCCTGATGCCATCCAATAATAATTTGAATGCAGAACAGATTGTGTGGCTTTTGGAACAATCTGCCGGCCCACTTCAGCTGAGGACGGTCAAGGTACACGTTGTCACCGTGCTTTGCTCCAACCCCGAGCCGACCAGCATCATCCTCCTCCTCATCAACAGGCTGGAATATTCACACTGCACGACATTCATGTGGACACGAGGGTCAAAGCATTCCCAGCGGAGCACAACGCAACTCCCCATGTATCAGCTCCAGAATTGGCCGACGGAGGACGCGGAGCAGCCAACCGGCGTTCAGGCATCCGCTACTCGCTTCAGGATGAGCCCAACCCGGGAGCTGTGTGTCCGGACTCCTCGGCGTTCCCTCATTCCGGTGGTGGTGGCGTTGGAGGAAAAAAAAAAAGGAGGAGGTATGTAGAGGCTGTCAAATTGTAAAAATGACGAACGTTACCGCCTTCTGGAGAATGCCCCCCTCACGCGCACCCCCAAAAGGCAGTATTTGAAGACAAGTTCTCGGTGCAGGATGATTAAAGGTGGCGAGGGCGCGGGGACGAGCGAGAATGAAGCCGCAACATCGAGCTCGTTTTTTTAGGCTTGTCTTTTCTCTGCCTTGCCTGGCGCTTGCCCTTCCATTTCTTCGTCGCTGCTTGACAGCGGCACATCCAATAAAAGCACCCGCAAGGATTGACCTACAGCCTTTACTGACGTTAATGCAAATGAGGTGCGCGCAGCTAATGGGCGCCGCGCTCCTGCAGCCGGTGGGTGGTCCTCCACGCGGCGTGGGAACTTTGAATACACTCACAACGCTCGATGCACTTTTTACTCTTGGCGACGCGACTAAATGCCGGAGAAAATAAATGTTTTTCTTCCTACACCCAATGCCGTTTGAGTATTTATTCCATTACACTGGAATCCAATTTTGATATCTAGGAGAAGATCTGTGTACTAGTCCACGCTTTGCCTTCACTAGACAATATAGTCCACTAGTAGAGCAACTTGGGAGTGATCGATCGCTCAAAAGTAACCTTTTGTCACTACTGTACAGTACCAGTGCCAATTCGGGCCTACGTATTGTAACCTTAACATAAATGTCAAGGATAGCGAATTAATATTCGGATGGATTTCCAAAAGTGGATGAACTGATAAGCATTTATTTAATATCTTTGATATGCATCTACATGCACAAATAGCAGAACGTTGGCAGATAAAAAGTAAGACAACTACATGTTACTAGTGAAAAGCTCTGTGTACTAAATCCCAAGAAAATGCCATAGATTAATGGCGAGATAGAAGTGTACAACGAGGCACGCAGTTCAACATGGGAACAAAGCAAAATGCAGCAGCACAGACAACGGTGAAGACAAATAAGCAATCTGGCATCTTCCTGGTGTGACCACAGAGCTCGATACTGGCAGCGAATTACAGTTCCTTCCCCAGATGTGCGCCGCAGACGAGAAACAAAGAAAAAAAAAACCACAAGGAACAGGCAAGTGACTGAAAAAGAAACACACAACTCCGAGTGACTGTTGATAATTTACAGTATTAAAACCTGCATTCAAAGTCAATCAAAACATTAAACCATCACATTTATCCCACCAAAAATCGACTAATTGAATTTCACGTTTTTTTCCAAAAGTGTGATTTTGTAAATTGGCAATATAACCACAATGCTCGGTGGAAATTTTTAATTTAATGTTTAATGTTTCTTAAATAGAAAAGTTTTTTTTTTTTCACATAAGTAAATGTTTTTTTGTCGAAATTCAATAGCACAGATTTTTTTGGGCTTTTCAAATTTTATTTTGGGGCTCTTTGTGGTATGCTTCTAGTGTGGGTGTCAGGTGAGTTAATTTTTGGTGGTAATTTGTGTTGTGGATGTTGTTCTTCAGCTTGTGCTAACTGCGATTAAGATCCAGCTTTTACTCGCAGTAAGTTTGTAACCTAATCAATTCCAATTGTGATACTCTTTTTGGGGTCACATTTTATGCTTTTCCTGTTCTCAGCATTGAATGCCGGCATGTTTCACACTAGAGGGAGCCAAAGAGTAATTTACATCCAACATCCAAGCTGTTTATCCACATAAGGGTCACAGGGTGTGCTGGAGCCTATCCCAGAGGTCTTCGGGCAGTAGCCGGGATAAACCCAGAACCGGTTGCCAGCCAATCGCAGGGCACACATAGGCAAACAACCATTCACACTCACACTCACAATCACACTCAGAGTCAATATAGAGTTTCCAATTAATTAAGCTACCATGCATGTTTTTGGAAAGTGGGAGGAAACCGGAGTACTCGGAGAAAATTGCAAAACCCACGCAGGAAGGCCGCAGCCCAGAATCGAACCCCAAGTCGCTGAAATGAGTTATGAGTTTCTTTCGTTGGGTGTCCGGGCTCTCCCTTGGAGAGGCAAAAAAGCTCGGTGATCTGGGCGGGATTCAGAGTTGAGAGGAGCCAGATGACGTGGCTCGGGCCTCTGATGAGGATGCCTTCTGGACCCTGGTGAGGTGCTCCGGTCATGTCCCACCTACAGGAGGCCCCGGGGGACGATGCAGGACACAATGGAGAGACGACGTCTTTCGGCTGGCCTGGGAACGCCTTGGGATCCCTCCGGAAGCCTTTGAAGAAGTAGCTGGGGAGAGGGAAGTGTTGACCTCCCTGGTTAAGCTGCTGCCCCCTTGACCTTACCCTGGATAAGCGGGAGAGGATGGATGGATGGATGGATGTCATGATTGACGTGATGATGTGCACGAGTAAAAAAATGAGTACAAGTTGATGAAAACATAACATTGAAATCTGAACGAAAAAAGAAAAGATCATTGGGAATTTTTAGTTCATAATTATTTTGTAAATTATATCGATTCAATCAATAACTTTGTAACTTAAAATCAAAATTTATGTTGTGTTGATGTGTGGCCAGCACGAGTCAAGTGTCCAATGATGTAGCAAGATCGCGGGCCAGACATATCGATATAGGTATATATTGCACTTTGTTTCTCATATTTTTTGTTCAAACAAGCATTTCACTGTGTCAAGGGGCTGTGTTTCAATACGTCTAGACACAACACAGAAAATCTAAACTTTTAACACTGCAGCTATTGTCTTGTATCCTGGTTGTGACCAATCTGTTGTTCAGCTACAATAGGCACCTTTAACCCTTTAGTATCCAAAGTTGCATGTGAAGCTTCTTCATCCTGTTTTTCACAACAATATATCACTTTATTTCATTTGGAGAAATCACAGTAATGTTAGTTGTAATAAATATACATTCTTGGTTATGTCTTTTTTTTTTTTTTTTTTTTTTTTGAAGTGAGCAAAGCACTCTGTCCTGGAACATGTTGTCACAATTCAATCAGCTGACTGCAGTACAGAGGACTAATATAGATTCCATATAAGCTGTAGCAAAGTGAGCACATGATTACCGTAAGTATACAACTCCTTCAAAGGACATTCTGTTATAAAAATACTTATTAGTACACCAACATACTTAAAAGATGTTCACTCGTCAAATTTTACAATGCCAGTAGTAGTTCTATTATTGCACATTTGTCAACCAGGGCATCATTTTGCCTCAGTTAGTTACTTGTCTTTGTACATCAAAGGTTTCCTACTAGTGAGGACAAAGAGCATATTAGAACTTGGACCTTAAGATGGACTTCAAGAATACTGAATTCCGGTAAATGCTCCATAAGAATAATTCAGCACATATGACTGTTTTAGTTACATTTTTGCATTACTAACTTTCACTCCTGTATGGCATTTCTGCACACGAGGATAACTTTGGCAAACTAGTTGGACAATGACTTTTTGCTCTGTTATGAGTGCGGGCGGCCCGATGGTGGATTGGTTAGCGTGTCGGCCTCACAGTGGAGAGGTGCAGGGTTTGATTCCAGCTCCGAACTTCCTGTGTCGAGTTTGCATGTTCTCCCCGTGCCTATGTGGGTTATATCCGGGTACTCTGGTTTCCTTCCACATTCCAAAAACATGCGTGGCGGGTTATCATTTTGCACAGACCCCGCAAATCAGGAGTCGTCAATGACCGATTGGCATACCTTCTTTCAGTATTGACTCTGGAAAACTGTGAGAATGACTAAGATTTGTCAGAATCTGACAAAGAAAATGCCCCCCTTGAATTGGGGAGACGGCCACGACAAGACAGCTTTCAGCGCCGCCACGTCACGGCTCTGGCTCTTGCAGGCAAGTATGGCTGTGTGCATTAGCGGTCATGGCATCTGGACAAATACTTTCTGCTAGCTATTATAAGCTTGCTTTAATTCAACAATTGTAACCAAAAATGCGTTTGGACACAGTTTGTCCTGTTAAAAGTCAATTGATTCTGAGGTACACTTTTAAAACATTGCCCCCCCCCCCCATACCTTTTTTTGAATTTCATTAAGTGTTGTGTTTGTAAATGCTTGCAAGCGTTGTTTGCGTGAAGCACATTGGGTTGCCTTGTGTATGAAATGTGTTTTATAAATAAAGTTGCCTTGCCGAGTTGACCAAAAGTGGCACTATAAGCGAGAAAAAAATGACTAGAAAGACAATGTTGTTTTGCTAGTGTGCTGAATCATCTTACTAGTTGTGAGAAGTGTACTAGCATATGGACTTTAAGATGCATATCAAAGATATCGCATGAATTCTAAAACGGTTTTGCATAATATAGCCTTGATATCGAGTTTAAGATACAGGTGCGAAGACAGCATTGTCAGAGTAGCTGAGTGCAATTTTCCCAAATCCCAATAGATTGTCATGTCTGCAAACAGTTGCTGAATGCACTGTGCAGAAATGCAATTGCGCAGCTGGAATACAAATGATCGATGCGCCAAAAATGGAGGAAGAATCAGGTTCTCTGCAACAGCTTTGAACAACGGAGACTCTCAGCAACTTATTCTCCAACTTTGATGACGCACAGCCACCCCTCCCAAGCCCAAAGTGTGACTGTGCAGTGGGATTAGGATATCCTGGCCTCGTCATAGCCCACCGGCTGCAACCTGATCGCATTCACCCCGTCGGCGGCTGATACAGGCCACATTG